ACACACACACACACACACACACACACACACACGCACGCACGCACACACACACACACACACACTCTTTGTTTCTGTATTAAAGCTCGTCTTTGGTTTGGTTGGCTTGTTTTGCCTCTTCAGCTTTTGCAGCCTCAATGTACTTCCTCCTGTCTTCATCCTCCTGGAAACACAAAGAAAATAAGTTTATTTTTAACTTGGATTAAAAAAGAAAAAAGGTATTTTCTTAAACTCACAGCCGCACAAACAACTGCAGTGATGTTGCTGGTGTTTTTGGGGTGATATTTTACCTTCACTCTGTCTTTTTTGGCTTTCTCCATCTCTTTATCTAAAAACTTCAGCAGGTCCTTTACCTTCCTCTTACCGTTGTAAACCACCACCTGACAGTAAAAACAGACATCATACACTGAACATTTGTACATACAGTATATGTCATGTTTTCCCCACAGAGCAGAGATAACACATACAATCCCATATCGTTCATAAGTCATTTTAATTTAAGTGCCTTTTTATGCAGAGGTAGCGAAATATTACAATATACTGCATATCCCTCCTCATTTACACACTAAACAGGATGTTCGTCTTTTGTGAAAACAAGGTCACACATGTGTACTGTCAAATCTTCCAATTTATATATTGAAACAGAGTTGGTGATTATATTTGGCACAGAAATATTTTTGAATTGGGACAAACTTATTTTTGGGCGACAACATTCAACATCCACAAACTTACAAGCACATATTTATTGAGAAAAGGGAGTGTGGCTGCTAGAAAAAAACAATTACAAAGAGATAATCCAGGCCCGATATAACTAAAAATGACAATGTGAACTGCTGCTGTTTGATCCAATAAAATATTGATACGATTCATAAGAAATTACACAAAAATATATAATTGACTCACCCGTTCAGCATGTAGAGCAGGGAACAGGCAGAGGGATGGGTAGGCGCCCTGCATTGACATGTGGATGTCATTGGCTGAGGCATCGATGCGAGCGACGACCACGTCCTCTCGCTCCTTCAAGGCCTCGGCCAACTCCTCCCACAGTGGAAACAGAGCGTGGGACTCAGGACTGTAGGGAAGATCTGAAACACACATTTAATTATTATAAAGACATTTTTAGGAAGTGTCAAGTTAGATCAGCTTAAAGAAAACAACAAAAAACAGCAGATGATAAAAAGCAGTGTGACCCTGTAGGCATGGATTCGATGATTCCAAGATCAAATTACTTCAAGGGGTCAAGTGATTATTTTTAAACCTACATTATCTAAAAGTTATTCTGGCAAATATGTTAGAAAGCAGTTTAACATGCACAGTACCCTTTCTGCAGATATAAAAAAACCTAACCCTTCATTAGGAGTCGTGAAACACTCCGCTAGTGGTTTGCAAAGGGGGAGCCTCGTTGCAGAGTAATTATACAGATGGCTAGTCCGCCCCTGAAAATGTCTATGCAAACGTTATTATTAATAATAAAAAAACATTTTAAATTATAATATAATTTAAAATGTTTTTTTATTATTAATAATAACGTTTGCATAGACATTTTCAGGGGCGGACTAGCCATCTGTATAATTACTCTGCAACGAGGCTCCNTCTCGACCCCCTTTTGGGAGCCCTGCTATAGCAATGTTTCCACCTTAGTAAACTAAAAGCTGCACGAATCAGGCTCCATACAAACCATTCTGTTCTGCTTAACGTTAATTGGATAGATTTCTACTCAAAACAATTGCTTTTATTGTTTCATGATAACGTCGCCTTAGTGGAGCAATGCAACCTGTTGTCAATTTAAGGGTTTTTTGATTTGTTTTGACATTTTTGAGTAATGCACCCTCAGGAATTTGCTATGCCTTGTAGTGACTCAGATGTGAGGAATGAGTCTTTCCTCCAATTTCGGAGTATCAATTGACTTTAACTTTAACTATATATTTATTTGTTGTTCCTTTCTTCTCTTTTCTTTTCTCTTCACTATTATCTGTAAAGCGTCTTTGAGCACCTGTAAAAGCGCTAACAAATTAAATCTATTATTATTATTATTATTATTATGTTTTATGTCATCCTTATTGTTGTTCTGTTGTTTTTATGTTACATGTGTAACTAATGTCCTGCAGGTCACCCTTGAAAAAGAGATCTTTTGATCTCAAGGGGCTTTCACCTGGTTAAATAAAGGCTACAAACAAACAAATGATGTGTCATGCTCAGTAACCCTGACAACTTCTTTTTTTTAATTGTTATTTTATTACGTATGATCCTATCATGTTGATAAGGAAATAAAAAATGGTCTCAGTTAAAACTCCAAAGCTGTTAAGTTGTTATATCAGTTGTATAATTTGTGGTGATTTTTGCATGATGTGTGTGTGTATGGTGAGTGTGTGTGCTTCCATTCTGACCTTGCCGAGGCTAACAGGGTTAGGCGAAGGGCATCTAGATATTAGTGATACACTTGATATGAAAATCAGCCAATTGCAGGGATACAGCAGGGCTCAGATAGGAAAGTTAATCAGCTACAGACTGGTGGTGGGTCTAGTCGGCAGATAACAATAGCATTCACATCTACCAGCTCAGCACTGACACACACACACACACACACACACACACACACACACACACACACACACACACACACACACACACACACACACACACACACACACACACACACACACACAATTTATTCCACCACTCCCTTCTTACCTTCCCTGTAAAGATTGTCTCCAGTGTCCAGTGTGTCAGTCTGTAGGTGAAGCGCCATGAGGAAACTGTTGCTGCTGCTCGGGCTGACGGCCTTCTGTCTCTGTGCATTTGTCGCCGCTGACGAACAACCCAACCGACAGGCAGACAAATCATCCCTGAAGGAGGATGGCGTTCTACAGCTGAAGAAAGGGAATTTCAACAGGGCACTGAAGAAGTATAAACAGCTGCTGGTGCACTTCTGTAAGTCCCACACAAAGACTCACGCAGCTTGATCTTGACCTATATGTTTATAAAGGCTGTTAGCATTAAAATGAGACCCACTAAATGTTTTGTAACTGTCTTCGGGCAACACTCAAGGTCAAAACTGCAGTATATCATGGCATTTTACTCTTACTGTGTCAGTGGTGGAATGAGCAGATATTTCATTATAAGTATCTTTATCTCAGTGAAAAAATCCTCCATTCAAAAATATTAAAGTATTTGTATCAAGATATACTCGAAGTACCAACATTTAAATAAATAATTTTGCAGAGTAGCCTATTACAGATTCAACTTAATGTTATATCATTAAATTATCGATGCATTTATGTCTTATTCTTAGTTTTATGAGCAAGTAAAAAGTGCAATATTTGCCATCAATATTTCTTCTGTGTCTCTGTTCCTGTGTGTGTAGACGCTCCTCTGTCTGGAGAAGGCCATCGTATCTCAGCAGCGTTTGAAGGTGCTGCTGCAGAGCTGAAGGGGTCAGAGGTCAAACTGGCTGTAGTGGATGTGGCAAAGGAGAAAGAGCTGGCCAAAGAACTCAACGTGACGGGCTTCGCCACAATCCTGCTTTACATTTCTGGAGATAAACTCAACCCTGTACTCTGTCCTGGTACGTCCAAATAATGTCCTTAATACTGAGTGTAGATACATTGATATTAGCTAAGCCTGTATAAGATAAGCAAGGGTTAATTAGTAACTAACAGGGTTGTGATTGCAGTGATTTCTTCTTATGATAATGTGCCTGTACAGTACCACTTTTATTCTATGTTTTTTCACCTGCAGTCATATCTCTTTTCTTTGTTTGTTTGGCCATAGTAACTGGCTCTAGGCATTGCTATTTCATATTAACCTTAAAATGATTTGTGATTGTGACAAAGTTCCTCAGAGCTCGGCCTCTATCTTGACCTGGCTGAAGAGGCGCTCTGGGTCTGCTGATGACCTCATTGCTGATCTTAGCCAATCAGAGGCCTCAGAGGAGCTGACGGTGGTTGGATTCTTCAAAGTAAAAAACATCGCTTTGATTTACCAGCTTCCCATTTGAGTCATGACTGTTATCCAACTGTCTGACTAACAAAGTGTGTGTTTTGAATGTGTGTGTAAGGAGCTGAACAGCGAGTACGTCCAGATGTTTTACGCGGCAGCGACCGACCTTCCTGACATTAACTTTGCTGTGACACAGAACAATGACGTTATCAGCAAATATGGTCTCACACATGATGTTGTACTGCTGTTCAAAAAGGTACTTTAAACACAACCTAGACACTAACCCCTGAAATACAGCTGCATAGGTCTCTCTCTGTTTTCCTTTCATTGCATTCTTACCCATGTGTGTGTGTGTGTGTGTGTGTGTGTGTGTGTGTGTGTGTGTGTGTGTGTGTGTGTGTGTGTGTGTGTGTGTGTGTGTGTGTGTGTGTGTGTGTTTGTGGTTGTGTGTGTGTTTGTGGTTGTGTGTGTCTGCTGCAGTCTAAGCTCATCCAGGCTTACAAAATGATGCCTGAGACATCTAAAGAGATGCTGATCGTTTTTATCACCGTCTACCAGATGGAGCCAGCCACTGAGTACACCGGACAGGTAGAGTATTAGACGCCTGGCATCATTTTCACACTTTGGAACCCACTTTGTGGGTCTGGAAATGTTCTCTAGGCTTTTTATTTTTTATTTAAACTCTCTGTTGTGTGTTACTGCATTATATTTATTCATTGACGGTCCTATGTTATTTTTTAAAATGTTGGTCTGCAGGTTCAACTATCTATTTAGGTTGAAAATCTGAAGTTTTTTCCTGTACATAGGGCCAGACCTTTCACTTTATTTTGTGGATTTTGTTGTTTGAACTGCATCCTAAAAATACAACCCATCCGTGAGATTGGAACAATACAATAGGATGAAAAGTATATTTAAAAAAATAATAATGGGTAATTCCAAAATAACAAAGACTGTCATTTTTTAAATCGAAATTTTGATTTATTTTAATAATTTGATATTTTTGCACATTGTATTCCACTTAAAAACCAACAAACAAACAAGATATTTTTGGTGTTGGTAACCAAGTAGTGTTATTTTGCATATATAAGAAGTGTAATGTAACTTGATAGGAATAACATTAAAAAACAAGATACAAATTAAAATAAAAAGTAGACATTTTGTGGCGTTGTATTCATTCATTTGTTATGAAAAACCACATAACCATATATTGTTAATGCTGATGTATTTATGCTATTCTCTCTCTTGCAGACATCCACTCAGATACTAACCTCACCTGTGTTAAACCATGCCCTCCTGTTCGTCAACACGAGCTCTGCTGACTTTAAAGAGATCCACTCTGCTTTTACCAGCGCCGCAGAAGCATTCAGGTTAAAGGTAGAAACCAAACACATTATTAACATCAGCACATGAGAAGATGGAGTACTTCACCTCTGCGTGTGTTTTTATTCAGATGTTGTTTGTGTGGGTGAACGTGGATGAGCCTCGTAACGGCAGGCTGATGGAGTACTTCCGTGTTCGGGAGTTTGAGGCTCCTCTAATACGGATGGTCAACCTTACAGACCATGTGACCTATCACCTGCCTTCTGACACTCTGGATGAACAGACCATAAAAACGTTCTGCCAGTCCTACCTAGACGGCAAGGCTAAGGTAACTTTCAACCTCACCTGGTGTGTGATACATGAACACTGAAGGAAACAGTGTTGTGATTTAAATGTGTTTGTGTTGATGTAAACAGCCAAAGATGCAGAGTGAGCCGATACCTGAAGGATGGGACACACAGCCGGTGAAGGAGCTGGTGGGGATGACTCTGGAGAAAGTGGGCTTTAACCCTGACAACACTGTTTTCGTCATGTTCTGTACGTAAGAAAACCTTCTTAGTTAAAAGCTATCCACTAAACTTGGACTTTTAGATATATACGGGTAAAAAGACAGTTAGATACTTAATACTAAGCTTAATGAGGTTCAAAAGTGGAGCATTTAGGTTACATGTAAGTACGTTTAACACCAGCTGGAGTATTCAACATCTTATTTTATCAAGTGACAATCAGCTCTAGAGCAGGGGTTCCCAAAGTGGGGGTCGCGAGATGATTACAAAATTAAAATGGAAAATTTAAAAAAAAAAAAATTATAAAAAAAGATTGATTACGGTAATTTNTCACCCAGCCGAGTTTTAAAATGATGCAGGGGAACCAAAGTCCTCAGTTTTGAACATGTTTGAAGACTGTTCCAAGTTAGTGGAGCTGCACAACTAAAAGCTTTCTTCCCTAAGACAGTCCTAGCACTTGGCACATTTAATAAAACAACATAATGAGATCTCAGGCAATAATTACTTTCAATTTGTCGAGAGATCCTCAGAGAGCAGATATAAAAAGGTAGTTTACCCAACATGGCTTTGTAAATGAACATGTACCAATCACTGAGCCTCCGTACAGTTAGTGAAGGCAGACCTGCCTTGGCATACAGGGTCCAGTGATGAGTAAGTGCTTTACAGTTAGTAACAAATCTCAGAGCACTGTGATAGGCGGCATCTAACTTTTCCAGGCAATGGGCAGGTGCATTCATATGGATCAAATCACCATAGTCCAGCACAGGTAAAAAGTACACAGTGACTAGCCTTTTCCGGGCTTCAAATGAGAAACAGGACTTGTTTCTGAAAAAGAAACCTAGTCTAACCCTCAGCTTTTTAAGCAGATTAATGACCTGAAGTTTAAAAGAAAGACAATCATTAAGCCAGATACCAAGGTATTTATAACAGGTAACCACTTTGAGTACTTGTCCTTGCATAGTAACAATATCCAAAGCAGTGTCTGGTGTCTTTTTAGCTTTTGAAAAAAGCATTACCTTGGTTTTATCAACATTTAAAAGAAGTTTAAGTTCAGGGAGCTGAGTCTGAATAATGTTAAAAACAGCCTGTAATTTAACAACCGCCTCCTGAATGGAGGGACCTGCACAGTACATCACGGTATCGTCCGCATAAAAATGTAAAGTAGCATCATCCACACTTTCACCTAAACTGTTGATATATATAGAGAATAAAAGTGGCCCTAAAACGGAACCTTGAGGAACACCATTAGCAATGTTCAACCACTCAGAAGACAGCCCATCAAAGTGAACACATTGGGACCTTTCAGCGAGGTAGTTCACAAACCACCCCACTGCATGGCTGGATATGCCAATACTGACTAGCCTCTGCTTCAAAATGCGATGATCGACGGTATCAAACGCTTTGGAAAGGTCAATAAATAGAGCTGCACAACTCATTACAAGAGGTAAAGCAGGTGTGTTGATCAGTCCTGCATTAGAGTGCATAGATTCAACAGCAGAAGCAGCACACAATCTAAAACTTGTTTTCTGCACCTGGTATTCACATCAAGTGGATATGATTGTACATCAAGTCTTTATGAGTCATAGTTCACAGTACCACAAATGACTCCATGGTTCACTTTCTTGCAGAGGATTTCATGGGGAAATTGACAGCTAACTCTCATTAGTTTGTGTCTGGTAAAGACATAGCTCAGAGAACATGCACAAAAATGAAAGTATAAATTGTACGACTCTTTTTACAAATCGATTTGGCAATTTAATCGACAGATCTGTAAAACTGAGATTCTCCACAAAGAATCGTCCAAAAGCACAACGTAAATCTTTTGTGTACCAGACATATGCTTATATGTGTCTTAGAAATAAGTCACATTCAGGATCAAAAAACGAATCAACCTAAGAAATCTCAGTCAAATATAACCGAAGGACAAATTGGTTGAGTGATAAACTAAGACGAGGCAGCCTTTAGGAGATGGTTTTCCAATCTTCAAGACAGCTAGCTAGGCTCTGTCGAAAGTTAATACACGACTGAAAAGCTTTTGTGTTTCTCAGCTTCTAATAATACAAATTAGGAACCTGTCTTTATGAGTAAACTTGTAATGGTGTAAACATTTTCTTTTAGAGTAGCCAAAAAGTATTCTTTGATATTGTCTTGTGTATTAAAAGTTCTGTCATTACTTTGAGTTGCAGTAGTTTGCAGTCCTGTGTTAATGTTTGACAAAAAGATTAAAGGCCCTGAGCACCCACACAGTGTGTATACTTTTGTGTTTTTACTGCCTTATATGTTGAAGGCAATCGTCTGTGTGGGTTTATCTCAGATGTGCAGGACCTTTAGAAGAACAATTAAGCAGAACAATATTGTAGCATTTTAAGTAAATGTGTGTTTTCTAATATGCTTTGTTTGCTTTTAAAAAACAAATCATGGCCTTCAAGTCAGGACAAGCCATCTCCTTCATCTCTAAAGTAAACATTAATTTAAGCTATATTTACATTTAACAAACTCATATAACAAATATGTAGTTCTTTTGGTATTTAAATGAAGGAAATACATTTATCAAACATGTTAAAATAAAATATAAAAATGGTCTGTACCTGACGTCCTCTTTGTCATCATTAATATCCTCCGTCTAGTCTTTTGTCTGCACTCTGTAAAGTTGTAAACTTCTAAACACGTGTTAAAATGGTGATATGAAAAACATAAATACATTCTTACAAGGGTTCTTGTCTACTTTTTACGTACAATACATTATTGTGTGATGTGCCCTCAAAAAAAAAAAAATATATATATATCTGAAAGTAGGACAATATTAGAAACTGAAAATTAAACATTTTGGCGCAAAGTAATGATTATGGGAGCCCTGAGAGGCAAGAGAGGGAAACAAATCTGGTGATTCGTTTTAAAGTTTGGGCTAAAATCATTTCTCCCTTGTGTTTATGACGTAAGAGGAAAGGCTTTGCCAGGATGATCTTTCTCTGTTCCATTTCTTCCTGCATCAAAAGTTTGCCAGGAGAAAAAACGTTGTATTTAGATAGATTTTACTTACTAAAAAATGTCACCAGGATAATTTCTCTAGGTGATGTTTTCATAGTAAAAGGTTCCATGTCAACACTTAATATTTGTACTATGAGTTTAGACAAAAAAACATCCCATTTACAATATCGGGTAGTGATGCCTCTTGCGTTGGAAATTAGAATAATAACAACAAAAACCAGAGAAGAACAGAAGAAAAAACACAAACACATATATCAACGGAATTATTGTTCTCACTTGCCTCTCAGTGCTTCCGTAAATACTGACCTCCTGAGGGTTTGAATATGGCAATATGGTCCTTTATAGAGAAAAGCAGCGGTGAGTTTGAATTTCGGTAGATTCAAGCTGTGTCAACATTTCATAGCCAAACATTTTTAATAAAAAGGTCTATAGAAACTTCTCAAACAGCAAAGCCACTCGTCAGTCCATCCCTATCTTCATTTAGTTATGTATATACCTTTTAAACCTCACATATGTGATGATAAGGCAGGGACGTAAGAGTCTATTCTGCTCCCAAATCTACTCTTTCTCCCCTGCTTAGGTCGGGAGGTGTTTTCATTCCTAGACGAATATTATTTATCCTTGTTGTGGGATAAATATTCTATGAGTGGTATTAACAGAGGTGCCTTACTAATCCTGACAGTGTCATCTTGTGTACGTGTGCAGCTCGTTTCCACACTGTGGGCAGGAATGATGTGCATCTTGTAGGCTTTTTATAGTTAATGGAATCAGACAGCAGCCACAGATTAACCTGAAACACAAACAAACATGCAGGGACACGACACACAGTCACGTGTTAAAGCTGGTTTAGCATTTTGCTGCTGAATACTCATGAAAGTGTGCGTTTGTGTCTCACCCCATCATGGTGAAAAGGAAACACATGCACCAGGCGGTCCTCCCAGGCAGGTAGGAGACTTTAGTGGTGACGACGTGGTGGCAGTGAGGGCAGCGCACCACACCAGGCACGTCTCCCAGATGTGTCACTGAGATGGGAACAGGAAGCGGCTGGGTCGTCACGACGACGGGCTGAGAACGTCTCCCGCCGACAGACCGTGTTACACCAACTGGCATTCAGAGAATAAAGGGAGGACAGGGGAGGACGTCAGGGAGAACCGTAATATTAAATATTGTATCTCCACACTCAAGAAGAAAAGTAAAAATGTGTCTCTCATACTTTGTGTAACTGGGTGGGTTATGACTCCAGTGTTTCTTGTCCTCCTAGGATTTGGCAGCGTCAGGACAGGAAAAGGATCTGGCTGGATTGTAACTAGAATATAATAAAGAATTATAATTAAACAACAGCTTGCTCCCGCCAAAACAGAGTTTACCAAAGACTCCCTCATATACATGTCTAAACTCACCAGTAGGGTAACAATCCAACTTTTAGCTGCTTCCAAATGTCTCTGCGACACTCATTTTAAATGCTAATGCAGCCAAACACACAGCAGTTGTTGTCATTCATCTTTTTGTACTCTGGTAAACATGCGGGCCGGTAAATATTGGGCTGCAATTAAATATATTTGTCATAATTGTTCGGTTCTCTGAAAACAAAAACTGAAAAAGCAAAGAAAAATCTTTGCTTTGTGTTTCCCTTTTTAATGTTGATAGTGTCAGCTTAAAAAAAACCTTTCCACCCCCTAATGCTCTCGGTTATCACCTACTGTATACTGTTATAGAAGTTTCAGATTCATCCATCTTGCAAACTGTTAACAGAAATATCAGTTTATGTGTGAAAAATACCCAGGTTTACGCCATACCGAGACAGGGAAACAATAAGACGTATTTTTTTAATTTAGCTTGGTCATTAAGTGTGGATGTATTCTCTGTGCCACATGATGAAGTGTGACAGAAATAAGGAACGAGAGAAATTAGAGATGTAATCTTACCTGCTTCTCCATAAGTGGGAGGAGGTGTTGGGGGGTAATAGAGGGAGGCATTGTAGGAGGGGGGAGGGGTGACGTTGAATGCTGCTGTGCTCAGAGCAGGAGGGTGGAGGCGGGACTCCTCATACGAAGGGGGTTCCATCAGCGGATCATCGAGTCAAACAGGAAGCTAGCAACAAACAGAAACAGCAGATAACGCTTACTGCTGGTGTTTAGTTCAGTAAAACCTTTATATTGCATCATTTCCTTTTTACTGGATTTAAACGCACAGATTTCAATCATGTGATGACATTTGTCTGTTGTAAAAAAAAGTGTAGTGGTACAAATTCATGCCAGAGAGAGGTGAAGGGCTTTTATTTGAATTTGGGCTGTTTTGGGTTCTTACAAGCTTCATTTTGGTCGAAGTTTTTCCCTGAAGGTTCAGGCGTATCTCTCAGCAACCATTAATAATTTGCTCAGTTGTCATCAATACAATTTAGCTGTCAAGAGACTCAATTCATACGGGAAACAGTATCATCATCTCTCTTTGAACTATGAAGCAAAACCGGTTACAGCATCCCCTCGCAGGGAGTCAAGGTCATGGAGGAGTCAGTGGAAAGCCACAGGTGGATTAAGGAGGATTTTCACATCTCAATAAAAAGACTTGGTTTAATGTTTGATACGTGGACATTAAGTGGAAGTAAGATCATTCTGGTATAAAACAACACTTTGTTTTTTGTTGGGTGGTGTAGGTCCAGATCAAATTGTGCAATCTTTTCAAGGATATTTTTGTTATGAATTGTTGCACTCACTTATGTTTTAATAATCAGCAACATGATCCCATGATTCTCTGTAGTATGATGTAAAACTTGACTCATTGTTATTGGTGGAGGCATATATCCACCACCTGCCATATTCTTAATCTACAAATAGCATGTACGCAGTTTTAGGTCCACAGGTCATATACTGCGCTTTATTGTCCTGTGTGTAAGAAGACACTGCACACAGGCAGTGTTATGCTAGATGCAGAGGTGGGAAGTAGTGGAGCACAAATACTTTGTTACTGTGCTTAAGTATATTTTTCTGGTATAAGTACTTTACTACACTGCTTATTTTTCTGACGACTTTTTACTTTTATTTTTAACACAAATACCTGTACTTTCTACTTCTTACATTTTCAAAACAGGCACATTACTTTAGTTTTAATCTGTGTTTGGTGGCGTGATCATTATTATTTAGAGTCATTGCGTGCCTATTGATTTGAACACGATCCGTGTATCCATAATTTCCTGGTCTTCTCCAAAGAAGAGGGACCAATGAGAACGTTGTCATTTGCCGTTGTTCAGCATCAAATCATTAATTAGCTAACAATTACTTTATTGTTCTATTAATACAAAGACATAATTATTATGTCTTTGTATTAATAGAACAATAAAGTAATTGTTAGCTAATTAATGATTTGATGCTGAACAACGGCAAATGACAACGTTCTCATTGGTCCCTCNAGTAGTTAGTTAGTATAGTATTAGTATTCGTTATTATTCGTGTCGTGTGTGTGTGTGTGTGTGTAGTGTGTGTGTGTGTGTAGTGTGTGTGTGTAGTGTGTGTGTGTGTGTGTGTGTGTGTGTGTGTGTGTGTGTGTGTGTGTGTGTGTGTGTGTGTGTGTGTGTGTGTGTGTGTGTGTGTGTGTGTGTGTGTAGATGCTCCATGGTGTGGACACTGTAAGAGCCTGGATCCTATTTGGGTTGAGCTAGGCGAAAAGTACGCCGACAAAGATGACCTCATCATAGCCAAGATGGACGCCACAGCCAACGAGGTGGAGTCTCTTTCCATTGAGGGATTCCCAACACTCAAATACTTCCCAGCTGGTGGCAAAGAGGTACAAACTGACACATGTCCAGCTTCACAAACTCTGCATACAGACACCATGTTATTGCTATTCCTGTAAAGAGCTTTTGATTATTTGTTGTTTCTTCTTTTTCTCCCAGGTGGTCAACTACAGTGGAAACAGAGATCTGGAGACAATGTCTAAGTTCCTGGATAATGGAGGAGTGTTGCCTGAGGAAGAAGGTGATGATGAGGAAGATGAGGATGACGACGAAGGAGAAGTCGTTGTTGATGAGGTTTGTATTTTTTCACTTACTTAAAATAGTTCTCCCTTAATATAAAACTACTCACCACCCTCCCATTCCTCCTCCTCTCTTCTAGGAGGCTGATGATTCTGCAGAGGTACCGACAAACAACACATCTAAGGACGAGCTGTGATGTCACTCTGGTTTTTGGCCAATCAGGATCAACCTAGCACATTCCAATTTTTCATAATAAAATTAATTTGGATCACAATCATGTGATGAAGATACTTATGACTATTTTGAATGAGCTTTAAACTCAGGTTAGATTTGTCATAAGGTTTGATTCAAAACTTGATTTTCTACAAAACTGTGTGTATATTAGATTTAATCTTTCTAAAGTTCTCAGGAATGACAGTTTAACCCTTCTATGTAATAAGTCAGTTACATAGTTAATTTATCTTAATCATTTGAGTGATGACATTTGAGTGATACAATAACATACATAAATACATGTACTAGGTAGTTAATATGTGATACATTAATCAGAAGCGTTCACTTGTGCCATTAAAGTCTACAATATCAGAACTTCTGCAAGTGTCAACTAATTAGGGACATTATTAATAGAAAGATATTTGAGGTTAAAGATGAAGAGGTGAAATTGTAGGGGAGCTAAAAGCAAAGAGAGAAAGTGCATTAGTTTGAAGGACAGAAACAAAGTTGTGTTTTCATTCCGAAGTGACATCCACAAGACAGACAAGAGTTGTAAATAGCGGTTGACTCATCGAGGGAGGTGCATCAGAGCATTTTTAAGAACATACAAAAGATTGCAAAGGAACAAGAGACTGACGTAGCACGCAGTTGTATTTGCACATCATTGGATAACCCGAGGGTGGCTCTGGATGAAAGGTTGTTTTCATGAATCATTTCAGAAGCATTAATGGCTGTACCACATTTCATGGTCATCCATATTTCTATGAAACACAAAATTGTCCATTTCATGATAGAGAAAATGTAAAAGGATCACCAAATGGGAGCTTTTTTTCCATCAAGTAGATGTTTAATATTGACAAAGTGAATCATAGATGATAAATAATAACAATCTGTGTTAATGAAAAGAAAAACTGGAAATGTAACACATAATAGTTGTATGGTAGGCTACATGTTTAGAGCTTAGAAAAGGGTAAAGAAAGGTTAAATATAAGTCTAATTTCCATTGGTAACAATAGTTCAATCTGAATGGTTTTTTTTACATTAAAAAGTCAGAAAAAATAGAAAATAAGATAACATTGAATGTGATTGGCTGAAAGGTGAAAGGGCCTTGACATCACAACTGTCACATTAAATATAAAAAAGTGAGGATTTTGAAATAAAGTACTGCCACTCTGAAAATAAAAATGATAAAATAACAATTAATGATAATGAGTTGATTATTAATCATTACTTCTTCGATTTGTAATACAATTTATTTGATATTGAACTCTTTTACAACTACCTCATAGTGTGTCATAAACTATTCTATACATCCTTAGATATACATATACAAGATAAGGTTGAATGAATGAATAAAAAAAGACATAATCATTCAGAATAAGATCTGCATTGCCTCTAAAAACAACTACAAAAACATACAGGTAATTTATTTGTATTCCTTATTTCTACACAACTATTGTGATTTTAAGAAATGATTAGCTTTTCCTACAAGAAATGGTATAAACCTTTCTGATGTGCTTGATTCTATGTCATGTCTTGCTATAAGAATGGTAGCAAATGCTGCAGATGTAGTTTGAAAAGTGCTACCACAGAATAGGTTTGTATAATCTTACAAAGGAAGCCTGAACACTGGCTGAGTTTGTTTGTACAAGTGAAGCTGGTGGGGAGGGTTTGGTCTTCACTCATTTCAAATGTTTGTAATTCCAGAGGAGAACCGGTCCAACAGGCTGTGACGTCACAACTGTCACCAACATGGGACGAGTGTCCTCATGCCAACCCAGCTTCCTCATGTGTCTAAGGTAAGACCACTGCTCTTTAAATCTCACACATCCCACTGTTTAATTAGAAGGAGCACACTTTGAGGCGGTTCTCCACCCTGCTGGATCAGATACTTTGGCTTTGGATGTATTTTGTTTACCCAAGAGAAGACGTCCCATGTGAGCTGGAGTCACTTGGCTGCATTTAGCAGGTGTGTTCACTGGCGGAAAATATTAGTTTTAAGTTTCTCTTTGGCATAAAGACACATTTTGGAGAAGCAGTGACATGGAATCACATGACTTACTGTGTTCATACTGTGATGACTGTTTGTTAAAATCCACTTTTATTATATAAAAGTGTTTACATGAACATGTAAACTGTGTTGCGTTTATAGTGGTGAGTTGTTACTCAGCATTTTCTCAAGTTTAATTTTGAGTTACTGCTAGTTTACTTGCCGTTCCCATTGTATGCTACTTGTGTTTACTTCACTACATTTGAAGAAGCCAATATTGCACTTTTCACTCCGATTTGTATGGAAACTTTATTTACTTTTCGGATTCTGATTATTAATCCAGACATTTAAAGCAATCAACACAATAATGAAAACACTAAATATATACATACAACATAACATAATAAACCTCTCTCTGTATCTAATCTAAAGTATTGTGATTGTAGAATCTTACCTGGTCTATACAGTAATTGGTAACATAAAGGTAGATGAATGCGCGTGCGTGTGTGTGTGTGTGTGTGTGTGTGTGTGTGTGTGTGTGTGTGTGTGTGTGTGTGTGTGTGTGTGTGTGTGTGTGTGA